TTTACCCAACCATATCTATATATATAAAAATGGATGTTTGTTGGTCCGTTGGTCCGTCCGTCCGTTGGTCCGTCCGTCCGTCCGTTCGTCAGTGATAATCTTCTACATCGCTCAACCAATCGTGATGAAACTTTGGGAAGATGTTTAGTATACTACCGGGATGGTTTCTGGCTAATTACTCTTTAGAAATAACCTTTCGTTGCATTTTTATTTACGATAAAACGTAGATTCACTCGCAATCATCGCCCCCTCGCGGCAGACGTATGGCCTGAAATAGCCTCGCATGAGCCTATTTGTAACGTCAAGCTTAGCCTATAGGTTAGGTACACAGCTTCGTACCCCCGCAACCTAGGTTCGAGGCTCAGCGTGGGTGTTTTTTTTTTTTTTTCATTTCTTTTATATTATTGTAGCAAATTATTAAAAATATTATTTTATTTAAAATGTAGGCTTTTTAAAATAAAAATTAACATTAACAATTTTTTAATAATATTTGTAACAAACCTAGGTTCGAGGCTCAGCGTGGGTGTCTTTTTTTATTTTCGTTTCTTTTGTATTATTGTAGCAAGGTCTGTTTTTACAGCATTATTATATTTTGATTGGTTTATTTTAAATATGTTTGTTATGAAGGCTCTATGTAATACTATTTAGAGCACATTTCACATTTTAAACACCTAAGCCCCCCTCTTTTTAATATTGTAGCAAAGTATTAAAAGTATTATTTTATTTTAGATGTTTGCCATGAAACTTTGGGAAGTTTTTTAGTATACTGTCAGGACGATTTCTGGCGAATTATTTTAGAATAATATTTACATCAATAATTATAGCGAAATTAAGACATAGTGATTATATTCTGTGTTTGTGCATATATAAATATTTTACAGAAAATGTGAGAACGTTCTATTAGAATATCTCGAAAACAAAAAACAATACGTATAAACGAGTTCACTGACGTTTATTAATGCAGTGATTATAATCAATGATTACAATGAAGGGCTATATTATCTATATATATATAAATCACTTTCAAATTTTAACGTAACGTTCCATTCTCAATCCCGTAGGGCTTTAGATCGGCTAAAACATTTTTATCTTTATAAGTGAATATTAACTTTACTGTACTGAATAGTTTAGTATAATGTTAATTTAACATATTACAATTTAGCCACAGCAACGCGTGGCCGGGTTCGCTAGTATTTTATAATCCATTTACTCTCATTATGTATAAAATGAGTTTTATTTGCATATTTGGGATTCTAGGGATCTACGATCATCATAGTGCTTTTTCCGGGTCCACATCTAAAAAATCTTCAATTATTTTTGATAGTTAAACACCATAAGTGACCACGGGAAATTTTAAAGCCTCTCTCTAGACAATTCTCTTATTCGTCTTAAGATAAATGATTTTATTAATGAAATAATAAATGGCGCTTCTTTATGCGTTATGGTTCAAGACGTCGATTATTACCAAAATTTGTGCCGTTAAAATGTTCTTCTATGGCAATGTTCAAGTAGGACATCAAAAAGCGACTGAAAATTATAGGAAGGGTTATAAAGGCAAATCTATCATTGGTAGAAACAAAATAAAGTCTTTAAATGAAAATTAGAAATTGTGTTACATTTGAAAATAATGCTTTTAGTTTACAATTACCTATCTTGGTTGGTAATCTGAATTAATCAGAGACGTTCTCAACTGAGTATCATTGCAGTATATCACATATACAAGTAAAACGCTGTTAACTTTATTTTTGGGTTGTTCGTTCCAAAAGGTTTTCTAATTGATAACCGAAATGTTTAGGTGTGATATCCTTAAAATCAAACCTAAAAATGAAACTTGTAATTGCAAAGTGGATACAGTGGATAAAGTATACACCAAAATTTTAGTTTCATCGTACAAAAAACAAAAAAAAAGAGCTTTACACCAAATTATATATTTAAGTTGGGAACAAATATATTCTGTGTATCTTGTGAGAGAGACAAGTTTGAGAAGACAATGGGGGAAGTGGCCGTGAGGAGAAAGAAAGGTGGACCCGCCCCATCAATGGATCGAGTAAGTTGTGGTCCTGGGCGTATTGACCTAGACGTCGATAAAGTCCTTGGAGTGCACCGGCCGGCTCGTGTAGCGGGGCTGGAGTCGGCGTCCACTTGGAGGTGTTCGTTGTAGCGAGGCTGGAGTTGGCTTCCACCTGGAGTTGTGCGTTGTAGCGGGGCTGGAGTTGGCTTCCACCTGCAGGTGTGCGTTGTAGCGGGGCTGGAGTTGGCTTCCACCTGGAGGTGTGCGTTGTAGAAGGGCTGGAGTTGGCTTCCACCTGCAGGTGTGCGTTGTAGCAGGGCTGGAGTTGGCTTCCACCTGGAGGTGTGCGTTGTAGCAGGGCTGGAGTTGGCTTCCACCTGCAGGTGTGCGTTGTAGCAGGGCTGGAGTTGGCTTCCACCTGCAGGTGTGCGTTGTAGCAGGGCTGGAGTTGGCTTCCACCTGCAGGTGTGCGTTGTAGCAGGGCTGGAGTTGGCTTCCACCTGCAGGTGTGCGTTGTAGCAGGGCTGGAGTTGGCTTCCACCTGCAGGTGTGCGTTGTAGCAGGGCTGGAGTTGGCTTCCACCTGCAGGTGTGCGTTGTAGAAGGGCTGGAGTTGGCTTCCACCTGGAGGTGTGCGTTGTAGCAGGGCTGGAGTTGGCTTCCACCTGGAGGTGTGCGTTGTGGCGGGGCTGGAGTTGGCTTCCACCTGGAGTTGTGCGTTGTAGCAGGGCTGGAGTTGGCTTCCACCTGGAGGTGTGCGTTGTCGCAGGGCTGGAGTTGGCTTCCACCTGGAGGTGTGCGTTGTAGCGGGGCTGGAGTTGGCTTCCACCTGGAGGTGTGCGTTGTAGCAGGGCTGGAGTTGGCTTCCACCTGGAGGTGTGCGTTGTGGCGGGGCTGGAGTTGGCTTCCACCTGGAGTTGTGCGTTGTAGCAGGGCTGGAGTTGGCTTCCACCTGGAGGTGTGCGTTGTCGCAGGGCTGGAGTTGGCTTCCACCTGGAGGTGTGCGTTGTAGCGGGGCTGGAGTTGGCTTCCACCTGGAGGTGTGCGTTGTAGCGGGGCTGGAGTTGGCTTCCACCTGGAGGTGTGCGTTGTAGCGGGGCTGGAGTTGGCTTCCACCTGCAGGTGTGCGTTGTCGCAGGGCTGGAGTTGGCTTCCACCTGGAGGTGTGCGTTGTAGCGGGGCTGGAGTTGGCTTCCACCTGGAGGTGTGCGTTGTCGCAGGGCTGGAGTTGGCTTCCACCTGCAGGTGTGCGTTGTAGCAGGGCTGGAGTTGGCTTCCACCTGGAGGTGTGCGTTGTGGCGGGGCTGGAGTTGGCTTCCACCTGGAGTTGTGCGTTGTAGCAGGGCTGGAGTTGGCTTCCACCTGGAGGTGTGCGTTGTCGCAGGGCTGGAGTTGGCTTCCACCTGGAGGTGTGCGTTGTAGCGGGGCTGGAGTTGGCTTCCACCTGGAGGTGTGCGTTGTAGCGGGGCTGGAGTTGGCTTCCACCTGGAGGTGTGCGTTGTAGCGGGGCTGGAGTTGGCTTCCACCTGCAGGTGTGCGTTGTCGCAGGGCTGGAGTTGGCTTCCACCTGGAGGTGTGCGTTGTAGCGGGGCTGGAGTTGGCTTCCACCTGGAGGTGTGCGTTGTCGCAGGGCTGGAGTTGGCTTCCACCTGCAGGTGTGCGTTGTAGCGGGGCTGGAGTTGGCTTCCACCTGGAGGTGTGCGTTGTAGCGGGGTTGGCGTTGGTTACCGACTTCTTTTTAAATAGTGCGTTAGGACAAATATGGAGTTAACAGTTGATTATTGGCTTTCTTCTAACGGTGTCCTTTGAATGTCAGGATTTGACCACTGGCATTTGTCTTTAGATGAAGTTGGCAGAATTCTAAGTCTGTCTTCTGGAGGTTTTTAATTCGTTTTTCACCAAGACTTACAGAGAGGAGCCTTGCTTTTATGGGGAGAAATATCTTTGGATAGCCACCGTTATATATACGTACAGTTTAATTAATTAAAAGTTAGTAACCGGACATGTGGCAGAAGTTTTGCCCCAGTTTATTTAGATTTGAATTTTAACCTCTCCGTTTTTCGACCAGAATTATCCATCACGTGCGATGGACTCCAGTGAAAGAATATATTTCAAGTAAATCTATATTGGTGGATGAAATATAAATGTTCTTTATCGAAAATCAACTTTTTTAACAAACCACAAAATTATTTGTTTTTATTTCAGAGATCAATATGCAACGAGATTCAATTTAGAAGTCAAATTCTTGGGAAATAAATATGGAAAAATAAGAAAAATACACATTTTAAAATACATGTTTATTTATAAGATAGGGGAATAAACCAAATATGTGTTCATTTAAAATTTAGTATTCGAAAATAAAAAAAGCGTTCAAATTTTATTTTTTAAAAGAGAGGTGGAGAGTGGTTTAGGATATATCTAAAATTTCTTTAAATCTATTCTCTAGACCAAAGGTCGGCAAACTTCTGAGTCGGAAGAGTCAAAATTGCAATTTACAAAATTTCAAAGTTTTAAAGAGCTACATATTTTTTCTTGCCAACAATGACTAACACTAGCCTAAATAATATTTGCGTATGGAACTATATAAAGAGCCGTAGATTCACATCCAAAGAGCCGCATGTGGCTCGCGAGCCGCAGTTTGCCGACTCCTGCTCTAGGGCGTTCACCGCAGAGGGACCGTGATATCAAGGGCACTCTACGGTCTATAACTGTTCCACAACCCCTGTACATATAGCACTACAATATGTAGTGTAGTATAGTCTTTAATACATATAAAGCAAGGTGCTCTAAAACTTTCAGAACTTAAATCCAATTTATAATACAATACGGCTTGTGATTGTAAAACGACATTCGAAAATTATCCCGCATTTGTTTCTTTTCAACGAAAAATCAAAATTTATTTTAAGGAGAAATAACGATTATTTCTAACCTTATGAATGAGGTATGAAAGGATGAATTGTGAAGAGTAATGATAAACGGAAAAATAAAAGTGTCTAGGGATGGGAATCGAACCCACAGTGTTCCACTAACCGGGCCATGTCCACTAGGCTACCCTGGACATATTTTTCCGTTCGTAAATAATACATAAAGTAATTCATAATACAATATAATACGGCTTGTGATTGTAAAACGACATTCGAAAATTATCCCGCATTTGTTTCTTTTCAACGAAAAATCAAAATTTATTTTAAGGAGAAATAACGATTATTTCTATCCTTATGGATGAGGTATGAAAGGATGAATTGTGAAGAGTAATGATAAACGGAAAAATAAATAAATCCAATTTGTTATTTTAGGTTCAAAGTCACGGCAACCAACATCACACTGAAAGGAAGAGAGCACACCAACTAGAAGAGTGAATATGGTTTTCGAGCTACTACTAACCAAAGATATGATTTTTGAATGCAAAAAAAAAAAAAAAAAGATGGCCCATGGGGGGATCGAACCCACGACCTTCGCGTTATTAGCACGACGCTCTAACCAACTGAGCTAATGGGCCGACACACCTACATATATATAGAATATGTTTAAACCCATTCTCTAGAGCGTGTGTTCACCAGGATATCACCACAGAAGAACCGTACACGCTTGTTCGGCGGTACATATACTAAAATTGGAACGATACAGAGAAGATTAGCATGGCCCCTGCGCAAGGATGACACGCAAAATCGTGAAGCGTTCCGCAGAAGGACCGTGGTATCTAGGACACACTGCAGTCTAGGGCTGTTCCACAACTCCTGTACATATAGCAGCACTACTATATCTAGTATAGTCTCTATTACATATAAAGCCAAGTTAATCTGAAACTTAAATCCAATTCGTTATTTTATATTCAAAGTCACTTTATCCAACCTCACACTAAAAGGAAGAGGGTCGGTAGAATGATGGTCTAAACCGTTGGTTTTCGACCGCTACGACCCAGGATCGAATCCCGCATTGGGCACTTTTTCTGATTTGAAAAAATGCTCCAATGGCCCCCGATTCTTGCAAAAGCCCAACCACACCAGCGAGTGCAAGTAATCAAACTGAGCTCTGTCGCATTTGTAAGTGTCAAGTCGAACTGCTTTTCACATGTGTAGACATGTGGTGCACTTACAGTAAAAGCAGTCGCCTACTTCTACCCATCATGATTATCGTGGCCTGTACCACGTGTACTTGGAATAAGCAAAAAATAAACACTAAAAGGAAGAGAGCACACCAACTAAGAGAGGGAATATGATTTTACGGGCTACTAACAAAATTTTGAGCGCAAAAAAAAAAAAAAAAAAAATGGCCCATGGGGGGATC